ATCCCTTTCCCTATAGCGAGCCCCCCATAATGTGTACTGTGTTCCGTATCCCCAACCCCGTAAATTGGTGGTTGTAATCTGGAGGCATGCACTAATTCAGTTTGGATTTTTTTTTTTTTTTTTTGCGCAAGAGCACAGTGAGGAGGGGGTTGCACGCTTGTGCTGGGATGTTTGCATCTCCTGGGAGCATCTCCTTTGGTCCTGCTGGAAGCCTCTGATGGTCAGTGGCTTTAAGGTCGTAGGATTTTTAATGGTCATAAAAACATTCTATTTTCACCTGGTTACAGTGCCGCTGAGTTTGGCGTTGGGTAGAGAACTTCCAGTCGCAGGCATTGTGTTTCCTTATCGCTTTTACCTGTTATCTTTTAATTGCATCATAGTGTATTTCATTAGAGAAAACTGGAAAACAGACATAAACAAGACCACTAATATGAAATTAAAACTGCTGAATTCATGGTAACGCCTAAGATTTGGAGTACATTCTTCCAGATTTTCTTGGGGGAAAAAAAATACACACATACACACACACACACACACACACACACACACACAAACTCTGGGGGTACCAAAAAATGTATACACATCACTTGTATTCATCTTTGGTTATTGGTATATATTGAGTGTCACAATTTCTGTGCAGTTTTTTCCTTTCTTAAAATGTGTACACATTTTTTGGCACCCTCTGTATATGCACATCTGTAATACTGTTAAATGGAAGGGAGCTGGAACGCCCAGCACAGCTCTATGGGCTGCTGTCCTCACATCTGGCATCGCCCCGTCCAGGACCTGTGGGGAGGGGCGTGGCCGCCTCCCTGCCCCCAGTAGTTCACCTCCGCCTGGGTGTGGGGAAGGACAGGCATCTGCTGGCGTCACCCAGCTGCCAAGTTTTTCAAAGGAAATAAGGACTTTGGGTTGGCAGAGCAGTCCCTTTCACATCTGTTCTTTTAGGATCCTCTGCTGTTACTCAACACACTGCCTGACCCCGGCTGCCCCTTCCCTCCTCCAAAGCCCTGTCGCCCAGGCTTGGCAGAGGCTGGGCCCTGGATGCCAGCCCCCCGCCCTCCGGAAGACTGTACCACCAACACGCTGTAGGTTTGTTCATGTCTCCTTCTTCTGGCCTTGGAAGCCGGACAGGCGGCAGCTGTTTAGATGTCTGCATAGGGAGACAGTAGCTGAAGGCGGGTGGGGGCTGAGGTTGTTAGCCAGGATGCTGTGTGCTTAGCGCACGTGTTTATCTGGAGTGGCTTTGAGGCTCACCCCGTCGCCCCTTAGCACTGCCACTGATTAGGAGTCCGAAGGCCCTTGCTCCATCCTATAACGGGTAACCGACGACCCCAGTGGGCCCCTTCTGCTCTGCAAACCCAGTTTCCTGCCTATTAAGTGAAAGGGAGAGCCAGCCACCTCCACATGTTCCCAGCCTGGGAAGGGAGGGGACCCCACCACACCCCCAAGCCCACAGCTGGGACCAGATGAAGGCAGAGGGGCTGAGGTGAGTCAGTGTGCTGGAATGCATCCCGCCCCCAGTGTGAAAAATCAATCTGGGAGGACAGTGAGTGACTGACAGGACCACAAGGCTGTGCGTGCCTCAGTGCGGCCCTCCCCGGGCGAGGTAGCTGGAGCGGGATTCTGGCGGCTGGCTGCACAGAGCGGGCTTGTGTTTCTGCTGTGCTCTCCTGGGGAGAGTCTGGGCGCAGATCAGTTGGGCAGAGATGCCGTGAAGGGTGCCTTGAGTGCCTGGTGCTGGGGAGAGGTGGGTATGATGGAAGAGAAGAGCAGGCTACAGTGAGAATGAGCCAGTCCAGTCTTGACCTGGCTGGGGGACCCGCTTCCAGGGTGGCTCAGTCACACGGGTGGCACATTGGTGCTGGTTGTTGGCAGTGACCTTGCCACAGGGCTGCTTGTGTGTCCTCACAACATGGTGGCTGGCTTCCTCCGACCGAGCGATCTGAGTGGGAGCGAGGGGTAAGCCTTGATGTCTTCTGTGACCTCAGAAGTCACACGCTGTGTTTCTGCAACATTTTGGTGGTCATCTAGGTAGTGTGGGGGTGACTGTGCATGGGCGTGAACACCAGGAGGCCAGGGATGTTGGAGGCCGGCTACCACAGTGGCAAAGACGGCGCCAGCAGCTCCTAGCTTGCACCCTAGCAGCCCAGGGAAATGAGAACATTTCTCCCCAACATAGTTGAAACAAAAGTCCCAGGATTGAATCTCACGGGACCACTTTGAGTCCCGTGACCATTCCTCCATGGACACTGGTCACGAGCCCACCCTGGAGGGCAGGTTACTGATAGGACCAGGGAGCTGTCACCCGAGTGGGAGGAAGATAACAGTATGAGAGGCCTGTGGCACTGTGGTTCAGAGAAGGTGATGGCGGGGCACTGGGGAAGGCTTCCTGGAAGAGGTGGCATTTGTAGTTGTCTTGGCAGGATAAGTAGCATTTTGACCGTTCCAGGTGGCAGAAAGGGCTGAGCCAAGGCATGGAAGAGTGAGGCAGCTGGATGGCGGCGTCAGGGACATCAGGATGGAAAGATGAGAAGGAAAGGCCAGGACTTGGCTCAGGAGGCACAGTGAGGCCATGGAAGGCCTTGGACCAGGGCAGGCACGCGGTAGAGCCAGGAACTCGGGTTTGGAGCTGAGAGAACACCCTCTGTCTGGCCTCCCTTGCCTGCCGGCTTTAACTGAGCTCTTACTATGTGCCTTACACACGTTTCTCATTTAACCCTCACAGCCGCCCAAGCAGCTGGGTGACATTGGCCTGACTTTTACTGATGGGCTCCCTGAGCTGCTACGATCACATGACTTGGCCGAGGTCACTCGATGGGGCTCTGACTCCAGTGCTCTGAAACCTCTGCATCCCACAAGGAGCGGCTAGGTTGTGGGGGGTGGTGAGTCACCAGCATGATGCTCAGACCCTTTTCTTGGGTGTGGGGAGCCCCCTGATACTCCCTAAGGGAAAGAAAGAAGGGACGGTAGTGTAGATGGTTATTCCCCTGCTCACGCCCCTTCCCAGAAAACTGCCTGCCTGCCTGCTGTTCACAGTGCACTGGGGTCCTGTGGGGTTTCTTCCCAAGGGGGAGGGGCTGGACATCTGGGTTTGCTGAATGGGGCCAAGCTGTTTGCTCAGCGCTTGGCGTCATTAGTCTCTTGGCTGACTGACAGCCCTGCCTGCCTTGTTTTTGGTGCAGTTTTATTCTTCCTTGCCCACTATTTCATGGGCTTGCCACTTTCTGCAGAGCTGTGGCTCCCATGCACCATTCAGAGATTGGTCAGGACATCTTTTCAGCCTGGGACACCCCATCTTGGGTTCCTTCCTCCAGGGAGACCCCGAACCTTCCCCAGGTAGATGAGGTCTCTCCCCTGGGCTCCGGATGCTGTATCTTTATTCATGGAAGCTTCTCCCTGATCTCTGTGCCATACCATCTTAACCTGGTGGGCTTGTTTTAACCTGGGGCTGGGATGACAGGGGCTGTGTCCAAGTCACATGGGTGTCCCCAGCACCTGAGGGGGGTCCTGCCTCCTGGGAGGAGGCCGGGTCTTGCCGAGTGGGACAGGAAAGGGCCAGGCCGTGCTTTGTGCCCTGACACCACGAGCGAGCAGAAACCAGTGTTCCCTGTCCGATGCCGAGACAGCCTGAGGTTGTCCCAGCCTTGGGTATGTTGGGTATGTTGGTCCAGCAGGTTCGGGAGCATTGAGTGCCAGGGCTCAGAGACCTTGGGTGAGAGCACCCTGCCAAGGAGGGCGGCGTGGGATTTGCAGCAGCTCACTCCTCAGGGAAGCCCTTCCTCACTCCCGGGAGGGTCATGGTGTGCGTGGCTGAGAGCACAGGACACAGTCAGACAGACCTGAGATCAAATCCTGGCTCTGTCTTTTCTCAGCTGTGTGTGTTTGGGCAAGTAGGTGGCCTCTTTGACCCCCATGCTCCTCTTCTACAGAAGGGGGATACTAGCAGGCCCCTCCCCATGGGCTGAGGGCGAGTTACATGAGGCTGTGCACACCGCCATCACTCAGTCAGTATCTACATGCTGATCGCAGGGTACATTGGCCTGAATGCACAGGTCCTGCGTGTAGGAACCCGACAGTCAGTGTGGGGGTGGCTGGGACTGGTGCGGCAGGTCAGCAGGAGAGAGTCTGACCACTGCCTCCACAGAGGAAATTGCTGGAAGGGAGGCCTGAGGAGGGCAGGAGGTGTTAGCTGGGAACATTGGGCCCCGTTCCCCACTTTGTTATTAAACAGTAAGGTTTACTGTCAGGACTAAAGGTAGAAAATGACCCCAGGACCCCAATGGCATGCTCCGAAGGGCCCCGTGAGGATCAGGAGGTGCAGCCCCTTGTCTTGGGGGGTTCCTGCTCTCTGCTCTCTGGCCGCTCCTAGTCTGCTGCCTCTCCACTGTGCTCTCCATGATCCCAGTGGGGAAACTGAGGCCTGGCAAAGCATAAAGGGAGCTGGGATTTGATTCCTGGACTCGGGGGGCCCTGGGGGCTCCGACCTTGGCCTGGCCCCAGCACGGGGCAGCTGAAATGGACAGGCAGCGGGCTAGACTGGAGACTGGAGACCTCTCAGAGATGGGTGAGGCCCCCCACCGTGTGGGCGGGGAAACTGAGGCGCAGGGCCTGCGTGTGAGTGGCAGAGCCAGGGCGAGGCGCCAGGCCAGGCTGCTCTTGCCTCCAGTTGCTCGTTACTGCGCATTTACTCTCTGCCTCCAGCTGTCATCTTAGGGCTTCTAATGGAGGTTTTTTATTTTTATTTTTACTTTTTGAAAATTGTTCCAGCTTAAAGCTTCCAATTTCCATGAAGTCATTGGAGCCAGGAGCCTGGCCTGACAGCTGCCCCCACTCCTGTCGAGGACTTGCTGTGGCTGGGAGAGGGGCCCGGAGCACCCGAGGGGCGCCGAGCTGAGGTTCGGCCTTAGCCTCTGCTGCCCCGCCGCGCTGCCTGCCTGCCTGCCGGAGCAGGAAGTGGTGGGTCCCAGATGTGAGTCACTCTTGTTAGGTAGCTGGTGGAAGGAGCCTTCACATGTGTGAGCCTGGATGCTGGCCGAGGAGGGGCAGGCGAAAGCCAGGCCACCTCCAAGCCGCCTCAGACCCTGGCCCTGTGGCCGAGGGGCTCTACAGGAGAGCCAGGTAAAGCATGGTGTGGGGACGGGGCTCCGTCTGTCCTGTGCCGGGGCCTAAGGGGACTGCGGGACAGCACCCCCCAGCAGGCAGGCCCGGCCTAGTGGTGGATGGACTAGGTCTGGGCTGGGGTTGGGGAAGTTTTCGGAGCCTCCTGAGCAGGTAGCTGGGTAGGGCGGCTCCTGGATAAAGGACCAGAAACTACTTGTCACCGGCTTTTCGCAGCCTGACAGGAAGGTGCTTTTATTACTGCGGTGTTGTTCACTTGGCCCGTTGCACCTGGCATTCTGTGCACTACAGACTCTCAGATGTCCACATTTCTTTTCAAGGTTGTAATTTTACATCTACAAGTACACTCAGCTTTTCTCAATGACAGCAGCAATTAGTGAGGGAAGGGCAATTGAATTTATTTTATGAGGTTAAAAAAATAAACAAAAAACCCGAACTCTAGAAGTGATGCCAAGAGATAGAGAACCAAGATGCTTCAAGAAAATGGAATAGTCTCCCTTTCCCTCCAACCCCTCCCAACCCAAGGCCCCGAGACCAATGGGAACCACTGGGAGTGGGACCTTCCGGATCTTTCTGCATGCTAATCAAACACATGTCCACAGACACGGGGCGAAGCAGAAGCCTCTTTGCCCTGTCACCACATTGTGTTCAGGACAGCCGGCGCTGGGAGCTTCCTCTCTGGCCAGCCCTTGGGGGAAGGGAGCGGGGAATGGAGAGCGGAGATCTGGGCCAGTCTCTGAGTGGCAGGCCCCTGGCCCCGAGGCCTGGACAGGCGCCTGGAGGCCGGGCCGGCTCTGCCTGGAATGGCTGTGTGGCCATGGGCTGTCACTAGCTTTTTCAGGTGGACAATGTGAGGGTGATTAGACGAGCCTTTCTCAGAGTAGGGGCGCTGCTCCATGGGGGGCACTGGGGTGCTTTCAGCCCGGATGTGGGTGGACATGTTTAAAATTTGTTAGGTATTTGTTTTAACATGTTTCAGAAGAAAAAAGTCTGTAAACAGGACCTTGAATCTGTGACTTCATGAGTGTCGCTGCGCCTCAGACAAGCCTAAAGAAGATACTGAACTGAACAGTGAGGAGGCCAGAGAGGAAGTGTAAAGGGATGGGGTGCAGGAAGTGTGGGCGTCTGCCGAGGGCGCAGCCTGGGAGCCCTTCCCAAGCGGGGCTCCCCACCTCCACCTGGGCCCTGGGCTTTCTGGGGTTTTCCTGTGGCTCCGGGTGTGAGGTGTGGGTGTGGAGGAGGGGAAGCTCTCGGATTGTTCCCTGTTCTGGGCCCCCAGGGACGTCTCCAGTGGCACTTTATGGAGAAGAAGTGGCTGTGTACTGGTGGCCTAGTACACACCAGGGGTGGGGGCGAGGGGGTGGTCTTGCAGGGCCTCTGTGCCAGGAGTGGGTCCGGGGACAGGGAGTCTCTGTGGACCCTACCGGAATGGGTTGGAGCCGTGAGCCATGGACCAGGGCGGGAGTGTGGCCTCCAAACACGCCAAAGGTGCTTTGCAAAGGTCCAACTTGATGTTGCTTTGGGGACGTGGACCCCCCCTTTACAGTTTGTAACAATTGGTTTAACCCATTCTTGCCTCCCTCGCCGCCCTGTGTGGCGGGTGTCACCTGCCCCCAGTTTATAGAGAAGGCAGCGGCCCAGCGGGACACTGTCTTGTCCTGGGCCACACAGCTGGTCAGCCCCTCGTGACATCCGCGCGCCCCTGCTGCCTCTCGGGGACAGCCAGCATGTCTGGGGTCTGCTGCCGGGTCAGGATGCTGGGCCTACCTGGGAGGCCGAGCGCGGCAACGCTGACGGGCTCTGGTGAAGCGGGTAGGCGGCCCTCCCTGGTGGAGGGAGGGATCAGGCTCCTCTGAGGAGCGAGCCCTGGGCCTGGCCTGACCCCTGTCAGCACCCGCCGCGGGTCGTGCGTTGGAGCCCTGTCTCAGCTGGGAGGTGGGTGCATCGGCCCTTTGGATCCCATGACTTTCGGTCCACCACCAGCAGGGATCGTGGAGAGGGGGCTGGTGGGAGGGAGAGGTGGGGGGTACCTCCACACTGAGCTGGGGGCAGCTCTCCATCGCCCGCTGCCCAGGCGGAGGGCAGTGCTTAACCCGTGGGGAAAGTACCAGGGCCTCAGAGGGAGCAGGCAGAGTGGGTCACGCTGCACGCCTGTGTCAGAGTGGCCGAGTCCGGCCTTTGGTGGGGCCGGGTGTCAGAGGCTGGGAGAGCAGTGCTGATGGTGGACCTTTTGGGCGTTGACTGTGTTTAGAAAGACTTCCAGAGCCAAGGGCTGGGAGTTAGTTTAGCTCAGTGAATAGACCACCATATCTGAGCAGCAACCAGAGAAGCAGGGGTCTCCGGGAGGCCACCGGGTCCGACCCTGCCTCCGGAAGAGCCGGCTGATGCTCAGGTCGTGGTCAGGGTTCAAGCCCCACTCTGACCTCTCCCAGCAGCGTGGTTTCTCGCATCTGTGACAGGTGGCCATAGGCTTAAACGAGGGGATGCATGTACTGGAGGTGGTTGTCATCGCTGTCATGTGGCTGGTGTGGGAATCTGCTCTGTTCATCCTGCCTTGGGTGGGAGGGTGGACATGCTGACAGCCATCCGCACCCAGCTCGACCTACCACTGCCCATGATTTCACAGCTGGCCACGTCATGGCTGGGGCGTTGCCCAGTCCTGGGCGCAGAGCTGCTGGGTGGAAGCAGCGTCCACCCCTGCTCTCCCCTTTTCCCCACGCACCCCTCTAGGTGTTGGGTCAGGTGGGTGGTAAGCCATGGGCCAGAGGTGGGCTTAGCAATTCTTTGGTGACCCTTCTCACTGTGACACCTGGCACCGTCCTTTCTCCTGTCATCTGCTGACTTTTTTGACAGGTCTAGTTCACGGGCGTTTTCTGAGCACCGACCAAGTGCTGTGCTAGGGAGATAAACCTGAGCTGACCTGTTGTTTGGGTGGGTGGGACGGCTGACCTTGGGCCCAGGGAAGAGCCCTGTGGGGCTCCTGGGTTCCGCTAACATGTCTGGTCAGGCTGTGCTGTCTGGTGTCATGTTGGGACTCTTCCTCCTGGATTCCGGGGCCCTCCAGACCCTGGCCCATCCGCCTCTCCAGCCCTCTCTCTTACGACTGCGCATGCGCTGAGGGCCAGGCCTTGACTTGGTCATTGGTCAGTGGGCTGGCTGGCCCCTCTCCTGCCTTTGCCTGTGCCGTCCCCTCTACTTAGAGTGCTTGCCCACTTTGCGCCCCCTCCCGGCTAGTGTCACCCCCATGAGGGCTCCCCTTTCAGGGCTCCTCAAGCTCAGGAGAAAACGGCTCCAGTGCGTCTGCTCCTGGGCCCCCAGCTGGCAGCCTCCCCCTCCTCAGCTCCGTGTTGAGCCTCCTCCTCACTGGTGCCAGTGCTGGGGCACGGCGGAAGCACCCTCCTCTCTCCATCCCCCTTTTCTGCCTCTACCTGCACCCCTCCCGCGTTGACCAACAGGAGGAATTACTCTGTGACGGTGTCTGAGGCAGAAGAGGCAGGTTGAGGTCTTTGTTGCAGGCACCCCAGTTCTCAGCTGCGTTCCTGGCCTCCAAGGCCCACCTCCTCTCGGTCCCTCCTGGGCCCAGCTGGAAGCGACAGGGGCAGGAGTGCTCCTGACGCAGGGAGCTGGCACTTGGGGTTGGTATATGGGCGGCCCGGCTTCTGGGAGCGTGAGGCCCCAGGGGGCACATGCCGTAGGTGGTGCCGCCACCCACCTCTCAGGACCCAGAGCTCCCCGATAGACGCCGTTTGCCTTCCAGGCCCCAGGCCCTCCTTCGCCACCTTTCCTGCCGTGTCGAAGTGGCGCAGTCTTGCTACCTCATGTGCCACCGACTTTGGTCTGTGGTTCCTGGTGTCACTGACTGGCTGAGCAGGCAGAGGCCCAGGCTCCTGGGGTGCAGCTGCTGTCTGCACAGGTGGGGAAACTGAGGCCCAGAGGGCTCCACAGCCTTGGGCCTACGTGTGAGTTTTTCTGGTGGGAGCTGTGTTGGAGGCACATTTCCCGGGGTCTCTCTCGGTGTGGGGGATGTGGGGCGCCAGTCCCCTCCTCCTGGCCTCAGTCTCCCTATCTCTGCGGTGGGCAGGTCGACTTCACCTCCCGGGTCTCTCCCTGCCATGTGGGGTGAGGGCCAAGGACTGCCCAGCCCTGCCCAGCCTCCCAAACTGTCTCCCGCAGGCTGTTCTCTCCGGCTGGGGGAGGAGGAGCCCTTTGAAGTCTGGTGGAGGTGCCACTTTAATGTGGGACCCGGGATAATGGGGAATAGCCCTTTTCTGAAACAGCGAGACCCCCTGGAGCCTCAGGTGCCCTGGGGAAGGGGAGCCTCAGTGCCAGGCAGGGCCAGGGGCCACCACTTCCCATCCCTTTGTCAGGTCCCCTTTCTGGGCAGGGCAGCAAGGAGAGAGAAGAGCTGCTTTTGGGGGACTGAGAGGAAGTGAGACCAAGACGTCTGGGACTTGAAGTGTGTCCCCTAGTGTCTGTTGATGTCAGGGTTTCTCCTGCTGCCCATCCTTCGCGTTTGGGACCAGTGGGGTGACCCAGGGTGATGGCACTCCTTGTGTGCCAGCCTCCGTGTGAAGCCCTGAGCATTAGGTACTATGACTAGTTCATCCTGGGAGCGAGGAAACTAAGACCCAGAGAGGTTAATTAGCACAGCCCAGGTCACACGGCTCCAGCCTTCCCCACTGCTGGGCCGGAGGCTGATCATCGCCCACCCGGGGTTTCTTTTCCTCAGGTGGCTCACTTATCATATGTCCCTCGCCTACCCCCCCACACGTGAGCTCTGCAAGGGACCCGCGTGTGTCTTGCTTGTTGTGGGCATCAGCACCTCACCCGCCTGGTACCTGGCGTGGGCAGAAGCCAGTAAGCACCTGATGGGTGGGGGTGCAGGGCCTCAGGGGCCTGCGTCCCTGTGCGAGGAACAGCATAGCAAGGTCGACCTCCCTCCACGTTCAAAGTTTCTGGATGTGTGAGGAGTTTTTATAGCCATGAGGTCATTTCACTGC